AGTTGTGACCATTTAAATATAAAGGCCTCGAGTTTATCTTTCTTTATAGCTGAGTAATATTCCATTATATAAAAGTACCACAATTTTCTTATCCAATTCTCGGTTGATGGACATTTGGGTTGCTTCCACATTTTAGCAATTACAAATTGTCCAGCACTATTTATTAAAGAGGCTGTCTTTTTTCCGGTGAGTATTTTATCACTTTTGTTGAAACTCAACAAAAACTGGCTTTTGATGTATGGATTTACTGTATTTCTCTGTTTTATTTTTCTGTTGTCTGGTTGTTTTTTTTTTTTTTTTTCCTTTTCTTTTCTGAAAAATTGAGACAGGGTCTTGCTATACAATTCAGGCTGGACTTGAACTCTTGCTATACAATTCAGGCTGTACTTGTGCCTCAAATTTGAGGAAATCCTCTTGCCTCAGCCTCCTAAGTGCTGGGGTTACAGGAATGTGTTGCAGAGCCCAGCTCCTCTGTGCCTCTGGTTTTATGCCAGTGCTATGCTCTCTTGGTTACTGCAGCTCTGCAGTGTGTGCTGATATTAGTTAGGTATTGTGATGTTGCTTTCTGCTTTGTGCTTTTTGAACAAGACTGCTTTGGCTATTCAGGGTCTTTTGTGCTTCCATATATATTTTAGAGTTGTCTTTTCTAATTCTGTGAAGAATGTCATTGGTGTTTTGATGCAGATTGCAATGAATCTGCAGATTACTTGGAATAGTTTGGATATTTTAACTAATATTCATTCTTCCAGTCCATGAAAATCCATCTCAAAGTATTGTTTTCCATTTTGTTCTTCAGTATTCAGTATTTTTCATTGTCTTTTACTTCGGTAAAGTTTACTCCTAGGTATTTTATTTCTAGTGTGGCTATTGTGCATGGAGTTGCCTTCATGATTTCTTTCTTAGGAAATTTATTATTGGTGCATAGAAAAGCAACTGACTTACTGTGATTTTGTATCTTGCTATTTTACTGAATTCACTCATCTGTGTTCGTAGTTCTTGGGTGGAGTCTTTGGGTTTTTCTGAGTATAGAATCATATTGACTGCAGACAGGGATAATTGTTTTTCCCTTTCCTATTTGTACGCCTTTTATTTGTTTCTGTCTGTAATTGCTCTGGCTATAATTTCTAGTAGTATATTTAATAAGGGCAGCAAGAGTTCCTGACTTCAGAGGAAATGTTTGCGGGTTCTCCTAATTATTATGCTATTGGCTATAGTTTGTCATATGCAGCCTGACCCTTTAATTTGGACTTTGTGGATTTGTTGTATGTAGCCTGGCAAAGTATAAGAAAATATTTCAAAATAAAAACACTTGCAATCTGAAATGTTTCTTGACCCATGCACTTCAGACAAGCGACACTTAACCTGTGTGATCTGAGTTTGGGTTAGCCTCTTATACCAGGGGCTACCTTAACTTTTTTGTTTCAAGAAATGATCTGTTTATTATTTTATAGAAATGACCTGTTTATTATTTTGTAAGGTAGAAAAAAGGCACTTGTACATTTCTGTAGTTTTAAAACTAGTAACATTTTGGAAGATTCTGATGATAGGGTAAAGAAAATGAGTATAAGTTGTCTAATTGGAGAGGGAAGAGAAGGAATTATTATAATTAAGATCTTGCAGGTAGGCTTTGTAACCAAATTCATCTAGAGGCATTAAGGGTTTATTAAGGCTTAAGAATCTATTTGTTTTATTTGAGAATTACTGTTATTAGAATTAGATTGTATTCAAAATAAGTCAATATGTGTGTGGCCAGTGGGTTAATTTAAGTTCCCACTCTGTTACCTTTGTTTATTAATAGTTAGTTTGCCCAATGGAGAATTTCTTATTTGCTGTTAAATTTGAAAAATTTTTGGGATTGTTTTTAAAGGAAACTTGAGATGGAAGCAAAGAGAAAACAAGAAGAAGAAGAAAGAAAGAAAAGGGAAGATGATGAAAGACGTATTCAGGTATGTACTTCCAGAGCTGGATTTCTATCAAAATATAATCTATACAGTTATTTTAAAAGGTGGAAGTCAGATTTTGATTTGCTAGCTAAATTATCACTGTCTCACTCCATGGGCCAAAGACAGTTTCTAAAGTGGCTCTGGGATGGGACTTGGGAGCTAGAGACCTCAGTCCACATCCAGGCTGTCACCTCTAGAAACCAAGGCAGTCACAGTGAGCCACTGTGAGACGCAGTTCTTCTGTGTGGAAGGGAGTGAATAATAGTTACCTGTGAAAGCATTTGGCATAGTGCCTTGTTCAGTAAAGATTAGTATTCTTATATCTGGCTGGGGGAAGTCCGGTAGATGCTTAGAACATAGTTTTTATGTTTTAAGATGTTTTATAACTGCAGATGCTGGCATTAATAGGAAAGATAGATATGCTCTCCACTCCTAGCTTTTAGAAAGTCCATTTCTGAGAACAGCCCATCATGTATTTGGGTTTGTGTTTGCCTAGGCTTTCATATGTGCTGAAGCGTAACCAGCACCCTAGCTTCCTGATGTGTGTTGTGTGGGTGTCCGTGTTGGTTCAGCACCAACCATACTTATGTCATGTTTGACATGTCCACATGATAGGCGCAGGAGTTAGGGTTTTTCTACATTCTCTTACTTTTGGGAAAATGAAGTTTTCATGAAACAGAAGATGGAGACTGGAGAGGTTTGCAAGGAACCTGTACGGAGCATGGAGGTTTCCGTTTATTTTAAGTAAAACGGAAGTGAGCAGGTAACCTGTGAAGGGCTCCGTGTGAACTGCTGTCTGGGCTTGGCAGGCGGAAGTGGAGGAGCAGCTGGCAAGGCAGCGCGAGGAGGAGTCCCAGCAGCAGGCCGTCCTGGAGCAGGAGCGCAGGGACCGGGAGCTGGCCCTGCGCATCGCCCGCAGCGAGGCCGAGCTCATCAGCGACGAGGCCCAGGGAGACCTGGTGCTGCGCAGGTACGGGCCGGGTGGGAAGTGCGCCCCTCTGCCTCTTCAACTCTGTTTCCCAGAGAAGGGAAGAAGAAATCTTGCTCTTTAGCCCCCAGTATAGTTGAGGTCAATTTATCTCAAGATTATTTGTATCTGCTTTGACACCCAAATGAATCAGATAACTGATTTTTCATCAAATTGGCTCAACTCTTGAAAAGTAAAGTGGCAGAACTTCAGCTGAGTGCTCTGTTAGGAAAATATTTCAACTTGTACTCTGAAATTGTGTGACGAGTATGTGTATTGGGTACATACTGACTCTCTAAGTACAGTACTTATTGAACACTGAGATAGAAATTAATGCAGTGCATTTAATAGATTTGAGGTTAGAATTTTATTTTATGTTTCATACCCCTGAGTATTTGAGGAAAAATTTACCCCCAGTGTAAATGAATTTCCTTTCCTAAAAGAGAGGTTAATCATACTTAAATATTTTGGCTTTTCAGATTTCTGAATTATCTCTAAACATTATAGGGGGAGCAGAAAGAATATGGATTCTTAATATTTTGTATGAAGTTACAGGAAACGTTTTAATATTGTTCATTTAAAAATTTAGACTATAAGCTGAGTGTGATGGTGTACACCTGTAATCTCAGCACTTGGTTATTTTTTTATTTTTTTATTTTTTGTCTTTTTGAGACAGGGTCTAGCTATGTAGTCCAGGCTGGCCTTGAGCTCACTTTGTAGCCCAGGCTGGTCTTGAACTCGCAGTGATCCTCCTGCCTCAGCCTCCTGAGTGCTGGGATTACAGGCGTGCACCATCCGGCTCTGTCTTTTCTTTTGTCCTCTGCTCTCCTCTGCTCTCCTCTGCTCTCCTCTGCTCTCCTCTGCTCTCCTCTCCTCTCTCCTCTCCTCTCCCCTTCCCTCCACTCTCCTCTCCTCTCCTGTCCTTCCTCTCCTCTCCTCTCCTCTCCTCTCCTCTCCTCTCCTCTCCTCTCCTCTCCTCTCCCCTCCCCTCCCCTCCCTTCTCCTCTCCTCTCTTCTCTCATCCCCTCCCCTCCGCTTCGCTCCCCTCCGCTCCCCTCCGCTCTCCTCTGCTCTCTGCTCTTCATACTGGAAATCAAACTCAAGACCTTGTGCTGGCTAGGCAGGTGCTTGTGCCTCTGAGCTATATTCCCAGCCCCTAATCCCAGCACTTGGGAGGTTGAAGCAGGAAGATTGCTGTGAGTTCAAGGCCAGTCTTCTCTACATAGTGAGATCTTGTCTCACAAAACAAAAGTGAAGAAATTTTTTTTAAGAATACAGAAGTAGTTATTTTAATTTTTTTTTTGGTAGTGGGCAGTACTGTGAATTGAACTGAGCCTTTGGACTGAGCTACATACCAAGCTCCTTAAAATTTTTAAAAAATTTTGAGACAAGGTCTAAGTGACTAAGTTGTCCTGGCTGGTCTTGAATTTGTGATCCTCCTGTCTCAGCCTTCATTAAGTAGTGAGGTGTCCAGGCAATTGCGGCCGGAAAGGCAGAGGGCGAGTCTTAGCTCCCTGTGTGCTGGCCGAGGCCTTGTGTTCTTTCATGCACATCCCTTCAGGTCTTCTCTCCAACGCGGGCCTCTGAGCGCCTTCCCTTCCCGCGGTTGTTTTATGCTCCCTACCGCAAGTGGCGTGCAGCGTGAGGACGCACAGGTGGTCCGTGTTGGCCAGCTCCGCCTTGGTCTGTGGACCACAACTAAATGTTCTTTTTTATTTATTTATTTATTTTTTACAACTAAATGTTCTTGAATGTTTGTTTCACTTTTATTAGCACTGAGTTCTTTCCATAACACACTTATGAACGATAATTCTCTAAGGAAACCTGTTAGAGTGCTGGGATTACAGGTACGTGCCACCATGCTCACCTATTTTGATAAGAAGGCAAAACTAATTTTTAGATTCCTCTACATGTAGATATATGTGCTCTGTACATGCTGAGAAGCATTAAACATGTATAACCTCAGAATATGGTTTATTACGAAAAGACCAGGCATGGTGGTGCATGTCTGTAATCCCAGCACTTGGGAGGTGAGGCATGAGGATTGCTATGAGTTGGGAGCCAGCCTGGGCTACACAGTGAGTTTGAGGCCAGCCTGAACTACAGAGCGAGATCCTGTCCCAAAAAAACCCCAAGAAACCCCAGAAACAAAAACAGCCTCAGTATTGTTAAATTACAACCACTAGAGGGAGCCATTTCCTTTCAAAAGGAAAAAAACCACCCTGTATTCAAATTATAAAGCAGCTTCAATTCAAATTGTTAGATTTCATTTAGCTGAAAACATAGATGGGAAGGAAAAGGGTTTTGCTAGTGAGTAATTGCTTGAGAAACTCTGCAGTCTGAGTTGTGTATGAGAGGGTGTCATGCTGTGACTGCACTGAGCAGGCCTGTGCAAGCAGGTCTCACAGCTGTCAGCTCTTGAATTTGAGTCCAGTGTTTGGCAGTATTAGTGTCTCATCATTATTGGACTCTTCGGTGCCACTGGGGCTTTTGTCAGTTCCGCCTCGCTGTCTACTTGTCCTTCCACCAGTGTTTGCTGCGACAGCTGCTGGGGCCTTGTTAGGCTGCTGCCCAGCAGCCAGGCCAGGCTCCTGAGGCGGCTCCCTGGTAACTGAGCAGGGGCACTGCAGCGGGCAGAGTGGGCGTCAGGTGGCTGCTGTTGTGTCTAGGGTGTGTTCATGAGGCGTCACTGCTGCGCACCGCCGAGCTCACGTGTGAGGAAACCGTGCGCGCACATGCGGCGCTCTCCTGCACGCTGTGCACAGGTCGTTGGCGTCTTCAGGAAGGTGCGCTGGCCCCAGGGTGACCAGTCCCCGAGAGAGGCTGGGCCTTGCGGACCTCCCATGGAAGCGTTACCTGTGCTTCACCTGAGCGTAGTGATCAGGTCACAGGAGCACTATTAAGTAGTGAGGTGTCCAGGCCATTGCGGCCGGAAAGGCAGAGGGCGAGTCTTAGCTCCCTGTGTGCTGGCCGAGGCCTTGTGTTCTTTCATGCACATCCCTCAGGTCTTCTCTCCAACCCGGGCCTCTGAGCGCCTTCCCTTCCCGCGGTTGTTTTATGCTCCCTACCGCAAGTGGCGTGCAGCGTGAGGACGCACAGGTGGTCCGTGTTGGCCAGCTCCGCCTTGGTCTGTGGACCACAACTAAATGTTCTTGAATATTCATTTCACTTTTATTAGCACTGAGTCTTTCCATAACACACTTATGAATGATAATCCTCTGTTAAGAGGTTGAGGTCATTCTTGGGTTGTGTTATGTATTAATACCTGTGGATGGATTCTGCCTCAGTAAAAAATTGTAATTCACTTTTCCAGCTTGGATTCCTGTCACACAGCTGCTAAGTAAGAATTATTTTCCACATATGCAGTATGATTTGCAATGTAATCTTAATCAGTTACACATGATCCTTGATGAAAAGTGATGATTTTAAATTACCTGAAATTGTGAATCCCCAGATTAAGAATAAATCTCACAGTATATGAAATTTCCAATCTAGGTGTATTTACTCTTTAATATTTAGTGAACGTATTTAATTTATTCCTTTATAATAATTGTAAATAATAATTGATAATACTTGTAAGATTTATAAAATGTACCAAAATTGTGAATGATTTTATGTGGATTAGAGGTGATTCAAGTTTTTAAATCAGTAAATAATAATAACACCATAAATTTACACAGTCCAGATTTTTACAATTCAGTATTGGTCATGATATTAACATTTCAGTTAATAATATTTCAATATTCTTTCCACAGAAATGATGGAACAAGACCCAAAATGACACCGTATGTCATCTCCCTTTACATTTTTAAAAATAGGCTGTGGATGCTTTGGAAGGAGAAGTAGTTTCTTTCTGGGAGTAAATTTTAGATTATTTTAAGAAAGAATAAGATAACTCATTTTTTTATTGCCTAGGGAAGATGCTCAGTGCTTAATTGCGGTTGTTTGTGACTTGGTTCCTTTTTTGTGTAGTCTTGGTTTAAACTTTAATACTGGTTTGCCTTACATGTGCCTCACTCTCCCTTCTTTATAGCAGCAGGTGGGGAGGGATAGATCAGAAGAAGTCATGTTCTTAGTTCTCAGAATTGATGACAGTTAATTCTGCTACTATCACAAGTAGACCATGATCTTGTTACCTTTTTGTATGTAAGTCTTCCCACAGAGATAGAATCCATTAACATTAGAAATACAAATAAAATATTTTTTATGCATAAAGAAAGTATTTTGGAATATATATAAAGCTGAATTTTGACAGTTTTAAGGACTGCACTGTAATCTTCATAGTGATGATTCTTGACTCTCAGACTTGAGCACCAGTGAAAAATATTTTAGAAAGGTATAAACTTTGTAAATATAGTAATTCTCTCCAAAAGTACATATAAAGGAGAAATAAAAAGGTCATCATTTATAATAAAATACTAACTTACTTTGAAATAAAAGTGCTTGTGTGTAACTGCAGCAGAAGGCATAATCAGGTACATTGTATTCATACATAGAGTCACGGTGAGTGCTGCAGCTACAAATGAAAGCTGGTGCAGGAGGATTAATGCCACGAGTTGTGAACAGTTCTTTTTTATGTTCTGTAAGGAATAAGTGTAGATTGCCTTTCAATTATATGGCATTTGCATTCCTAGAAAAACTGTATTAAAACTATGAAAAAACTTGTTCATATGTAAAGCTTTGTTGACATGTAAAATATTTATTTATATGTGTTTTTTACCTTTATATGCCTGGAGATGTGTTAAGATACATAGATTATGAGGCAGTTCTTCGTGTGCAGGACATTTAGAATTCCTAACCCACACCTCAGCACACAGCAGGAGCACACACCCACATCGTCGCCCCAGCAGCTCCAGAACTTCCAGAAATACCCATGAGTAGGCAGTGTTTCTCCTTTCTCCATTAGGACAACTAGTTTATAGTTATCTTCTGAGCTTGAATTTAGTAAGTCTTACAGCAGTGTCTGATGTGAAATTGTGAGTGTTTGCATGTAGTATAGTAAAATGAGAAGGAGACAAGCACCCAGAGATGCAGGGTCCATTCTGCAGAGGGAGCCGGGTTCTGGAGACGGGGTCAGTAGGCGTGCGGTGCGCTGGAGTGAGCGTGCACACACAGAAATCACTGACGACTAGCAGAGCAAGTGCAAAGGGCTTTGCAGAGCTGCTTGCTCTCCATGACACTGCTGTGGCTGTAGGAGAAAGAGAGAAATCACGAGGTGGGTGATGATAGAAGTAAGATGCTTCCAGAAGCATTCTGAACTGGAAAGTTAGAAAATTCTGAGAAATTACTAACCTTTAAGAGAGATTGATTGATGGGTATATTGCTCAAAAGGCAAGTTTTACTAGATGATATTTGTGTACTTTTTGTTTGCTTTTCTTTGTCATCAGTTCGGAAAGATTACTTTTTCTGACTGTGCTTGCTTGGCTAGACCAGTGTTCATTGTAAGGAAGGAGGGATGGGAGAACGCTGTTCCCTTCATCGGGCCAGCGCTGGGGTCCTCTGGGAAGCTGCCCTGCGGCAGGTGTGCCCCTCTCCTCTCCTTGTGATTTTTACCAATTTGTAAGGTTTTGAGGTTACCAGAGTCTGACTGATAGGATAAAGGAGAAATGATTAATTCCAAAGGAGAAGAGCTAGGCAAGTAGAAAAAGGCACTTAACGAAGTGTTCATGAACACAGTGAAACTGACTGTCTCGAGAATAAGCAAACACTGAGACCAGTTACACGCTCCTGGGTAATAAAAGAAAAATAAGTATTTGCTTTCGGAAAATACTTATCCTTGGAGGGTTAAAATATGTCTTTCATTTAACATCTGCTTGTATTGATTTTTTTCTTTTTGAAAAACATGCTTTGATTTGGAACTTTAGAGCTTTGAATACATCAGATTCTTATTTAAACTCTGTAGAAGACATCAGTGTGGTTTACCACTGTCGCGCTTTATCTAATTAATATTTACTAAGCAGCTCTGGGGTAGAAGTCCTTGTGTAGAATCCATATCCTGCCAGACTTCTGGTATGGATTTAGAACACGTTACTTGTATTCTTTTTTTTTTTTTTTGGTTTTTCTCCGGTACCGGGAACCGAACTCACAACCTTGCGCTTGCCAGGCAGGCGCTTTTGCCGCTGAGCTAAATCCCCAGCCCCCTACTTGTATTCTTTACATAAAAAAATACCACAGAAGCAGAGTGGCTTTCATGAGATTTTCTGTGAAAGTTCTTACCGCAAAAATAGAGATGCATTCAAATAACTTTAACTATATTTAGACAAAAATTTTGCCATTTTTTATTGACAGATTTGTTGAAAAGTATATCATAGGCTTTTTACAAGGTAAAATGATTGTGAATGGCTAATGAATATAAAACATAAACTTTTTATTATACTTTAGGTGTTTTAAGCAATTGATGTCATCTGCTTTGTATATAACTATGCTGTGTTAATCATTTTTCTTACAGGGAACAAATGGCCAGAGAAATGTCTGAACTTTTGTGTAGGTTAGTGCATTGTGTTTGGGGAAATATGCTCACCTCAGAATCATCTCTTAAAATCACTGTTGATTATTTGTACTAGAACCTGTTCTATAAATATCCCAGTCTTCCCACTTCACTGCCCTCCTGTCATCCTGCTATAAAATAAGAAGCAGCATTCCTAGAAATTGGTGTTGCTCAATGGGGAATATTATTGACATTTGGCCGGGGCGGGGGGGCCTCCCTCATTGGTGCTCCTGTGCTGCTGTCATGGGCTCCCTGGCTAGCCAGCTCGGCAGAGGGCGCCCTCCCCAGCCCGACAGACCTCCCCGTGGTGGTGGGCATCCCTGTGCCTCACTGCGGGGGAGAATGGGGAGAGTGTGGCTGCCCAGGGCCTCTGCTCCACAGCCCTCCTGAAAAACTCCTCGTGGCAGTTGAGTTCCCAAAGCATGTGACTTCCTGGCGGGATCTGGTCCATTTCCTTTATAAGTGGGTGTCGATCATGAACAACTTAATCGTCAACACTGAAGTTACAAGTTAATTAAAAGTGTTAAAAGTATTTTAAAAAATCAAGTCAATTTTGTCCTTGCTTTTGTTATTTACATGATTGTCTGTGCAGCAAGTTTAATAGTCAGTAAATGACCGTTTACTTTCCTATTTCAATAACTCCAGAGATGAGGGTGGAGGAGCATTTAAACACACTGCCTTCATGTGCTTCTTCTGATGCTGAGTGTGTTTTTTAGCAGGTGTATTTTTGTTTGAAGTAACGTGAGTGAAAAGCTAGTGCTATTAAAATGATACTTTAAGCAATAATAATTTGGATTCAGTGTTTTAAAAAATGTATATTCTGACAATCTGTAAAACTGTATATTATGTAAATCAACTTTCCCTTTCAAGAAAAAGACAAAGCAACAACAAAACCTGTAATTTTCAGCTGTCGTCCTAGAAAGGACTCCTGGAAAAGATAGGAAAAAGAGAGAAAAAACTTTTCTGGTCAGTTGATTGAATGACAGTTTAAGACGTAGAAAAAGAAGGATTTGAATAAATGTTGAAGCATGCCTTATTGTTAAGAGTAACAGAGAGAGCTTGCTGACATACAGCTGCTCTTTTGAGCAAAGCAATTAAGAATAAAAAGCTATGTGGAAAATTGCCAGTCACACAGCTTATGAAAAGTATAGATTCTACAGTAATCCTAAACCACATTTTAACCATAGGACACAGGAAGTACTCTGCACATTATTGTTCAGCTGTCTTATATGTAGCCAACAGTTATGTCAAACAGAAGTGCTTTATGCATTGTAAAATACGCTATATTTTATTCTCTGAAAGTACACATAAGCCTTGTAAAGAGGCAAAGATTTCTTATTTACTTCATTTTACGCTTAATATTGAGAGTAATTTCCATCACTTTAGGAAGACAATAACATTATTTTCAAATTTCTGTGCTTTGTGAGTGTGTGTGCGTGCGTGCGTGCGTGTGTGTGTGTGTGTGTAGGAGGACATTTCTGGAGATTAAATCCAGTGCCTTTACACTGAGCTGTACCCACAGCCCTGTTTAATTTCTCTATTTTAAGACAGGATCTTGCAAAGTGACTATAGCACCCAGGTTGGCCTGGACCTTGTGATTCTCCTGCCTCAGCCTCTTAGAGTGCTGGAATTCCAGGCTTGGGCTACCACACCCAGCTCCAAATTTAGTTTTTTTCAGTAACATTAGTCATATTAAGTAATCTGTCACATGACTATTTGCCAGGATTGATGTTATCTTTCAAAATAAGTCATAAAAAAATACGGTTATTTCCAAGTAGAATATTTCTCCTTAAGAGGAAGAAAGTGTTTTCGAAGTAGTAGGTAATAAAGGAGACTTTCCTTGTGTGTTATCCGAGCAGTGTTTTATTTCTTCAGTACTTCATTGTTTTAATATTTGTGCCTCCTCCTCTTATTTTGAAATCTGATGTGCCATTAAACTTTTTATGTGTTACGTTGAGCTTAAAAATCTTGTGACTTGATCCTAAGTTTCTTTCATGTGCACAGTATAATCTTTTGCTGAAAAATAATGTTCACTGTTGCAGAGAAGAAATTGTTGATGTAGTTTTTGACGAATGATCTCAAACAGTGCTTAAAACCCCAGCCTGATGCCCTGAGTAGCTCAGCTGTGACCAGTCGAATGTGTTGAGCCCTGCGGCTGTTTGCCTTCCTTTCTTCATCCAGACATTCCTCCTGCACAGGGAGAGATGGAGCATTTGACCCTTTGAGCTCACTCTTGTGAGCCTTGTGACCGCTTCCCGTAACGTGCTGGTGGTCGTGTTGTGACTCATTAAGCAGGAGGGTGCGGTTGGTCCTCCTGGACTCTGCTGTGTGTCTCTCGAGTCCAGTGGGCCCCAGGGCCTGTCCCGCAGGCTCCGGTGCCATGGCCGCAGTGAGCCCGCTCATGGGTGCACCCTGCCAACAGCCTGCTGCCCGGGGGTTCCAGGCCCGTCGCGTGCGTGGGCCGTGGCCGTCCTGTGTCTCGCAGGCGATCGCACTGTGAGCCCTGGTGGCTCCCAGATAAGCCTCTGAAGCGGCACTGCCCGTGGTCTTTCCCATGCGCTGAGGCTTCTCTCTTGATTTTGAAAAATAAATATGTGTGTTTTAAACTTTAAATGCTTGTATTTAAACAAATCTGGGGGAAGTCTGTGATATTGTTGATAGGAAACCTAATGTGTTTATCAGTTGGCACACTGGAAGATTCCAGTTTACCTGAGCATCTTTCAGTATATTTTTTTTTGGTGGTGGTGCTGGGGAAACTCAAGGCCTTGTGCATGCTCTGCCTCAGAGCTGCACCCAGCCCTCATACCATTCTTAATCACCTCTGTCAAACTTAGGTTTTTCTAGTAATCACTTCCAGTTCTCAAACTTACACTTTCTTGCTTCTCTAGTCAATGTTTCCCTCATGTTTCCAGTTTCAATATGCAAAACTATGTAATAATTACAGAGGCCCCACTGTACAAGCCACCAAGGCTGCTGCTGGTACCAAGAAGCATGACCTTAGCAAGTGGAAATATGCAGAACTCCGTGACACCATCAATACCTCTTGTGGTAAGTGTACGGAGGGGTCGAAGGACAGGAAGGGTTAGACTGATCTTTTCTTTCTTTTCTTTTCCTTCTTCTTTTCTCTTTTCTGGCTGTGCTATGGATTAACCCAGAGCTTCATGCATACCAGATAAGACGTCACCACTGAGCTGTACCCCTAGCTCAGGGTCCGTACTGATCAGTAATAAAATAAATACCTAGACTGGAGTGACAGAGCTATGTAAATTAGCTTATGCCACTCTTATGTTTTCCTTGAAATGAAGACACAGTTTATTCACACAGCCAAAAGAAAGATGTGCTTAATAAAATTAAATCATTTTACTTATTTCTTACCGAGGTGAGCGAAGAGGAATTATTACAGACTGGATTGAATCTTTCATCTGAATCTTTTGACCTATGAATGCAGAGTAACAAACAGCAATGCAGTCACTTCTTTTTAAAGCTGTTTTTCTTTCAACAGAACAGTTGTGTAGAGGTGTATTCAGGAGATTCCATGTAGTCATGTGCTTGTTGAAATCACAGTGTTGGAATTCAGGATGCTGATCAGGAACGAAAGCATCATAAATGTAATTTCTCACTGTTCTCTGTCCTCCTCACTGAGAATGTCTGCCTAATCATAAACGAAACCAAACCAACCAAAGAAAAGAGAATCTGACTTGTATTTGGGCACACTGACTTTTTATTCTGTTACCCTTCCTGATTCTTCATATTCAGAAGACACGTTTAGTCCAGAGTTCATGTGCGGAGCAAATGATATGATAGTAATAATGTTTGAAAAAAATGCCCTGTACTGCCGGGCATGGTGGTGCACGCCTGTAATCCCAGTACTTGAGAGGCTGAGGCAGGAGGATCCTTGTGAGTTTAAGACCAGCCTGGGCTACAGAGTGAGCTCAAGGCTGGTCTGAACTGCATAGTGAGACCCTGTCTCAAAAAGACCAAAAAAAAAAAAAAAGCCCTGTAAATATAAAAGATAATTGGGGCTGGGGATTTAGCTCAGCGGCAAAGTGCCTGCCTGGCAAGCGCAAGGTCGTGAGTTCGGTTCCCGGTACCGGAGAAAAACCAAAAAAAAAAAAAAAAAAAAAGATAATTTTACAAAGTGCTCTTTATGATAACTTGATTTTCTACTCTTCAGTTAAAAACAAAAACTTGAATAATTACGTTAGATGAATAAATTAGGTTGTTAATTCTTTTTGTGCATGTGTCTCTTTCTGTGCAATCAATAGATATTGAGCTTCTGGCAGCTTGCAGAGAAGAATTTCATAGGAGACTAAAAGTGTACCATGCTTGGAAGTCTAAGAATAAGAAGAGAAATACCGAAACAGAGCAACGCGCTCCCAAGTCTGTTACTGACTATGGTAAAAACAAATCTGTACTTTTCAATGTTCCAAAGTATATGTATATAAATATATGTAACTGTGCACAAGGTGTTTGGGTAAAATATTCAATATAAATTATCTCTGTTGTAGGCTGTAATCTGTTGGACCTGATAGAACCATGATGACCTTATATAGTATATTTCTATGGAATGTGTTTTTAAAGTCATATTTGTTAATGTATATTGAATTTACTTGTTGAGTTCTATCATTTGTTTTCCTGTACTGAAGAAGTTATGCAGTATTGCTGTAAGTACATAGTTTTACTTACACACACACATACACACACACATCAGGATTACATGTGAAAATGTACAGATTACTATGATACTTTAATTTGCCATGTAAAATGAGTTTCACCTGTGCAAATGAGTATTTTTATGCTTGCCAAAGGCTATTGTTTAAATTTTTTCTTCTTTTACAGTTTATTTTTGTGCAGCTTTTTGGAATATGGTCCTTTGCATATGCAGGGGTAAATGCTCTCTGACTCAGGGGTAACGCTCCTACCAGGCAGCGTTACAGCCTGGAAAAGTAAAGGGGTGTTTCTTGGGCTTGCCGTTTGTACTCTCAGCCTTTGTTCGGATAGGCTCACTGCAAGCCTCACTGCAAGCCTCACCTTGTAACAGAGTGAAGACACAGGCGTGGGAAGTGTTACCTGGGTTCAGACTACAGTTGTGCCTGGCCCATGATCTGAGTTTTAAGGTGAATATTGCTATGCAAAAGGCTAAGTATGTACTTGAAATGGAAACAGAGGAGACTGATACAACATAGTAAAAGTGGCCCAAGCCCCAACTTTAATTCAGAATACCTGTCATATGTGATCTTTAAAGTAATAATTGGGATTTTATTTGTTCAACTTGCTACTTTTATGCTGTCATAATTTACTAACGTAATCCCAGTTAACATCAAGGTGACATCAGGTTTAAGGTCTTTTCTGAAGGAGTATGTTCTCAATACTTGACAGTATATTTAAAGTTCATTTTAAAAATGAGCTTTGGGCTATATTTTGCTTTTCTCAGTCTTCCAAATAAATGAAAGCAATAATTGAGCTTAATTAAATGATAAAATGTCACTGTTTCTAAGTTGTTGCAGAGAGCAGATGTAGGGCAATACTACTTTTAATGAGGAAGACATTGGTGGCAGTAATTGGTCAAGGAGTGAGCTTAGAAATTGTGTAACCCTCAGGCGGAGCCAGGGAGACCACAGTTCGAAGCTGACTAAGAACTGTGACCAGCACTGCCTTTTTCTGTTTAATTCCCCCAGTGTATTAAGATGACTGGGTGATTCCTTTACCTGTTCATTGTGTGTGTACTAAGTTTCTGCCCTGTTGCCTTTGTTTTTTTAAAAAATCGCACTGAGCTCTTGTTTTTAAATAAGATCTCTTTGGCTCTCAGTGTAATTAGTATCTTTGGCCTGCCAAACTCTCACTGTGTTGGGTTTAAAAATGTGTATGTCTGAGTGATCTCACTTGTTAAAACAAATAGACTCTTGTATCGGGCATGCAGATTTTAAACATGCACGTGTCCATGTATTTTTAAACCAGTCTTTGATGTCTGTGTGTCTAACTTTGCCTGAAAGGGCAGATAGTATGTATCTCACCTAACTGGTACAAGTACAGTTCCCTTTCAGAGTTTAGTAAGGGGGAACAAAAGAGTAGATGAGGAAAATTTTCTGAGTCACATTCAGGTGTTTGAATGAATTTAAGAGTTTGATGTGAACACTGTTTATATGTAGCTGGCCTTCACATAATTTCATGATGAGCCAGGGTAAAAATCTTAATTCTGTAAATTACTTAACCTTGATTTTCTTCGTCTTTTTTTCTTATATAAAATTCAGTCTGATACAAGAATATAGCTAAAAAGAAAAGCAGTGGGCATCTAGATGCTTACTAGCTGAGTTGAGAAAATTGTGTACTTAAGGTGGAGTACACAATTGGGGCAGCTAAATACACTGTAAAAGAAGCCGTTACGTGGTCTCATATTTAGAAGGATTAGAATTCATTCTTTGTGAAGGTACTGTAAAATGACAGTGTATGGTAAATGAAAATGTGACCTGGTGTTATTGATGTTGAGAACAGTACATCAGGCGGCAGTGGTGAATTCCAGTGATCAGGACACCCCAGACCATCTCTGGAGCCCTGGAGTAGCTCGCATCTCATTTACTGCAGAAAGAGATTTTTCAGAAGTAACATGTGGGCCAATGGCAAATTATGAAACAAATATTTATCATAGTTAATTGCCTAAAGTAATGATTTTAGAGATGGTTGTTTGTTTGCAGACTAAGTGTATGAGAAAGTTGAAAAAAATACTGTGTCTGTTAAGTCACTTGTGTTAAGGTTTTGTTTGGATATCGCCATGTCCCAAAGTTACAAGTTAAGTATAATTTTTATATTTTGATCCTCTTTGTGTGTGCCTGAGACATGGTTTCCTAAAACATGAATCAAAGTAGCCCTTTTTCTAAAATCAGAAAGCAATACCTATTTGTAGGTAATTCTGAGAATATTTGACTTTTGAATAGGAAATTTACTTTTTAGTCACCACCTCAATTGATGGGCTGGCTTTATAAGTAGAAAAATGCTCAAAACCAACTTTGGCATTTTTGTCTTCAACATAAAATGTTTGTTCACAGATTTTGCACCATTTTTGAACAATTCACGTAAGTCAATGGGTGGTAACTGATGAGCTAACTGGAAAATGGGTTAAATACTTTATAAAGTACTAACTTCTGTTAAACATTGTTTTGCTACAATTTTAAGTGGAATTGTAGTACATTAAAATTGGCTTATCTGTATGGAGGTTATTTTAACTTGAGAAGATGCTTTTATTTGGATCATTCCAAAATATATATTTAGAACAAAATCTTAATTCTATTGTTTTTTTTTCAAATTCCTTTTAAAAATAACTAGTAATTTCAACAGTGAGTGTACACAATTCTTATTGTAGCAAGACTCTTAATGTTAATGTAGCAGCTGATCCTGAGAACAAAGACTAACTTTTAGGTGATGGTTTCAGACACTTTAGTTTCAAACACTGATAGTGTCTGGGTTTCTAACCAAACATATTTGAATTTTATATGGTAGTGTGGACATTTTTAATAATGAGAAGAGGAGATTGTTTTGTTGCTTTTGTAGCTTCATAAGAGGCACATACTTTTGTAATTTAAAAGCTTTGGGTCACTTCAGTATTCAGTGAATTTCATCTGGAGTCAGTTGAGCAGTAATGACTTGATACAGTGCCGTATACTGTACACTAGCCAGCTGATACGGCCTACTTTTAAAATATGTCTGATAATTTATGAAGCTATGTTCTAAAAAAATTTTGTACTCTTAAAAGATAATACAACTGCATATGAAAAAAAGTTGTTTAGGGAGGTTTCAAGCTTTTGGGGTCTGTGTTTTTGAAGTTTTCCAGATAGATACTAGTTTCTAGTCTTCCTCAGTGTTTCCATTCTTCCTTTATGAGAACAGCCTATTAAAGGCTTCGCTGGGTTTTTAAATTTTATCGAGTAACAGGATAAATATACCAAGTAGCAGGAGACCATTATTTTAAAAGAAAAAAATAAGCTAATTAATGAATGACTGTTAGTATTAGAGTTAATATCCAGTCAACTGGCTGTTAAATTCTAATTCTTAATATGGAGGAAAATTTTTAAAAATCCTCTTGGAAGGTTTTAATGTTGAGTATTTTCTACAAAGGTAATTTTAAAAACTTCAAGTATAATCTCCGAGCTGTACATAGCTTTAGGGAAACAGAAACAAAAGAATAAATGAACATGTCTCCATTAATATGCTAAAGGTGATGCGGGTTTTTAAAATCACTAACAAAACTGGCTTCTTATACCTGCATAGGCATATGTGGCTTTGCTGATTGCCTTTGCTGTCTCTGATCTGCAAAGAAATAAATTCAAGTGCTATAGCTCTTTTGCTCTTTCTAGCAGTAAAAAGTAGACTAATAGTGTTTTCATTCTTTCTATATTTGCAGTTTCTTACAAAAACTATGTGGCTATTCTTGATTTTTGTATCCTATATGAAAGTTATTGTATAACTTCATTGACATACTTTTATTTCGATGCTGAGATTCTTGGAACTGCAGTAAATGATTGGTGTGCTTTTACAGTTGTGTATATAAAACATATTAAACAGGTTTTCTAAAATTATACTACTAAAGATGTAAAATGATTGCTCCAGGGAAATGTTTACTTTCACAGATAAAAGAAAAACCCTTTTTTTCAGTAATGAAAATTAAGCAAAGAATAAAAGATTGCAATGAGTGGAATGCTTAGTATAGTACTTGGAGGAAAGCAAGGACTTCTCTTCCTGGCTGGCAAGGAGAGTATTAGACCCTTTCCTCTTATTGCAGTGGATTTTATTCCAAAAGAATTCTTGATTTTGAAAAAAGTAAACACATTTGAGAGAACGTTCATGCTTAACTGTTACAGGTTTTATTTGGTCATGAGTTTGTCTGCTGTTAATATCTGTGTTATCTTAACCACTTAAAAACCCCAAATCTATTGATAAAAGAGAAAATTTTTATATGGCTTCCACTTGTTGTGGTAATTGTGATTGTAACAAATTTTAAAAATTCTTATTTAAGTTTGTTTTATAATAAATAGTCCAATAAAATTTACTTTGCAACTTTCTTTAAAAATCTCTGGAGATAAAATGCAAATCTAGTAAATAATACTAGTTTGCATTCCTGCCGTGCAACTTTATTTCAGCTTACTGGTAACAGTCATTCGTTGGAATGCGGTACAGTTTTGTTTCCATTGGTGATGGTGGTGATGGTGGTGATGGTGATGGTGATGGTGTGTGTGTATGTGTGCATGTGTGCGATACCAAGGAACATCTTTAAGAAAAGACAAAGACAATTTAAGAAATCACTGGCCCGGGATATAGCTCAGTGGCACAAGCACCTGCCTGGCAAGCACAAAGTCCTGAGTTCGATTCCCCGTGCCAAAAAAGAAAAAAAAAGAAGTCATGCTCTGAATTGTGTTCCTTTATAGGCAGTCATTTTATTACTAGGAACCTCCTTCTCTCCTTTGGAGGATGTTCTTGTGCACTTTAGGGTTAAAAGGCACTTTTCCTGTCCCTTGAGCCATAGCTGTAACTAATGTTCCTCTTCTGTGTAATAGCTCAGCAGAACCCGGCCGTTCAGCTCCCTGCGAGGCAGCAGGAGATTGAAATGAACCGGCAGCAGCGATTCTTCCGAATCCCATTCATTCGGCCTGCTGACCAGTACAAAGATCCCCAGAGTAAGAAGAAAGGCTGGTGGTATGCCCACTTCGATGGGCCCTGGATCGCCCGGCAGATGGAGCTCCACCCTGACAAGCCGCCCATCCTTCTTGTGGCTGGTGTGTATTTCACAAGAGAAAATGTATGAAACAAAAAGGGTTAAAACCCTTTGAATGATACATTCTGATGCAGAATGTAATAACTGAATTTCAGTGTTGAATGATGGAGTTTTGCTGTCAAATCACATTATCAGCTAATTGAGGGTTAGCTGATTTATGATAGGAAATTGCTTGGGTTAATTATGTCGTGGAGCACACAGAAACTTGTCTGTATCCTAAGAAACTTTTCATTGATGTTTGTTTATATTTGTTGTTTTGTAATAGCTTGAGGATGTGTTATTTTTGTTAACCTGATTACTTTTTTGATCAACTGTGGTGCTTATAAATTTTGAAAGGATCTTTAGTAGGGGCAAATTTGTTTTCTGGTGAATTTATTAACCACATTTCCATCCTAGAGAAAATAAAGTCTTAAAAAGCTCTCAGATTTGTGAGAGTTGGTATTTCTGGAATGAAGCTCATAAAATCATTCCGGAAGGAGAGAAGGTAATTTTCGGTCTCCTGTGTGCAGGTAAGGATGACATGGAGATGTGTGAGCTGAATCTGGAGGAGACCGGCCTCACTCGGAAGCGTGGTGCTGAGATTTTGCCAAGACAGTTTGAAGAGATCTGGGAACGCTGTGGGGGCATCCAGTACCTTCAGAGTGCAATCGAGAGCAGACAGGCGCGGCCCACCTATGCCACGGCCATGCTGCAGAACCTGCTCAAGTAGCTGCTGCCCACTGCCCTCCCTGCAGCTGGGGCCCAGGTGCCGGTGGGAAGGAAGCGTGTCCAGGAGAGTTAACCCTCCTGAGCGCGCGTTAGAATTACTTATGCAAAGTGAACAGCTTTTACTAATCATGGCCTTTTGTTAATTTGTTTAAGGTTAATTAAGGTTATGGGAGTGATTTTTAGGACCTAAAAGTTCCTTTCCTTTATCCAGCTGTAACTCTGAATCCCCTCATTATCCCAGGGCTTGTCAGGCTTGGACAGATTCCATCTCTCATTCTTGACAATAGACTGCCTTGAGTCCATCCTGATTCCTTTCACAGAAAAGAGACTTTCACAAATATTTCAAAAGACAAGAGTACCTTATAACTGGAGTAATGAAACATTAGTTTAAATTTCTTATAAGAATTAAGGCACTTAAAATGATCAAGGTTTGAAAAGCATCTGAAAAGCTGTGTATTTTCTCTGCTTTTTCAGAAATTCTTAGCTACTTCCATCAATAATGGAAATTCTGATTTTTTTTCCTCCTCTCCTTTGCAATGTGTCTTAGTTTTGGTGAAGCAATTCTTACGAACTCCTAGAATACTGGAAAGAGCCTTAATTTATTCAGTATCTTCTGTGATGAAGTACTCTGTGTCCAGCACTGATTTGGTTTTCTTTTCTATCAGACTGTGTGCTGCTGTCAGAATATTTTTTTAAATATATTTCATGGGCAAATAAAGGAAATCCAGATTGTTTAGACACTTAGAAGTTTTGGGGTAAAGTTAGTTTCGTTTAGAAAGGGAAACAGCTGAGCTGGTGCTGTGGCTGAGCCGGGCTGGGTGCAGATACTCTCTCAGCTTCATCTCGTTGTGCTTCTTATGTGAGAATCTTGTCCAAGTCGTTTCATATGTTCTGAGCTGATGTTTGTTTCAAATATCTTTTTAATTCCTAGTGTCCTTTTTTTGCCTTTCAAGATTTTGGAAAATGTAGAGCTGTTTTATAACTCAAAAGCCCTTCTACTTAGTAATTGCTTGTTTCATGTAACAGATAATTTAAAAAAGTTTTCCTTGTGTGTTCTTAGTCTTGATCAAATGTCAACAGTTTCAAACCTAATATTTATGACTTCCATGTTAGGAATTTAGAGACAAAAGCCCATCAGGGAGTTATGCTGACATAATCCTAGAGTCTTGTTTGTATCGTAGAATAAAATTAGAAAGTAAAATTGTTCTCTGCACCTTTTTCTGGTTTTTAAATAGTCTTAAATAGTCCTCATTTGAAATGAAGTGTTAGCGATTTTTTTTCACCTAGAAAAAGGCCTCAGTTAGGAAAATATTTCGCAGCCGACTAGATTAATGTTTGGAGCCGCAGATGCTGTTTTCAGAGTTGCTCCTCTCATCGCAATGTCATACTGCAGAAACGCGTATTTATTATCAAGTTGCACAGACGACGGCCTTGTGTGAAGGAGTGCAGTGGCCCTGTCCTCGCTGATAGCTAACAATGTGGATGTGATTATCTTCTGTCGGCTGTTTTGCTGCTCAGACCTCCCCATCCTGGGGTCATTTGGTGATTGGGGCAGAAGGTTTAGTTACTGAAATGAATGACCTGTTTGCTTTCTCCTATTTTTCACCTTCAATTGGTGTTTTTATTTGTGTGGGGTAGTGAGTGGTACACTTTATTTCTTAACCAGTGAAGCAAGTAAAGTCTGAAAAAAATGTAGAAATCAAATTGATTTTTAATGACTTGTCCTTTTAGCACTATTTTCAGAAGTTGTTTTATGCCTATCCTAGGTACATGAATTGGTACTAGATGAAAAATTAATCAAAAAGGTTAAAATATTATAATGAGAGAACTTAATGTTTTTATGGTATTTGTAAGAAATGTATCAAAAGCTTGTTACAAGTCTTTTTAGTTTTTGACTCTGATAGTTAATAAAATTATACTTAATCGTAAGCCATTTTGTTTCTAATTATGTTACTCAGCTGACCTAGAAGTTACCTATTTAAAATAGTCTCCTGAGTTCATTTTGCCGCCAGGAGAACTGCCCTAATTCAGATAGACTTGGGGTAACCTACATACAGCAGACGTGCATTCACACTGAAGACCCTTCCCCGGGAAGCTTAGGGCCCCGACAGCCCTGTAGGGGAAGTAGTGGAAGTGGTAGTCCAAGCAAACCTACAAATGCTGGTTGAAAACTGTAAGGGTCAAAAGTTAATTAGCTCATATTTAGTCAGCCATTTTAATTGAGACTTAAAAGTTTAAACCCATGTACTGTGTGTAAAGAACAAGTCTGGGGTAGTGCTGGCCTCACCAGCCTTAACACTTGTCCATGCTAGTTCCTCCCGTTGGGTATGGCATGCAGAAAAAGTAGCCATGCACAAAAGGTTGAAGCGAGGGTGCAGATGTCTTCACATTCAGTTCAATTATAATGTAACCATCAACATGTCTGACATGTATGTGAGATATGAGCTCTCACTGGAATAGGAAATTTCTTCAGTCTACACATGCTTAGAACACAGCTTCCTTAGTTTTAAAGTTGTGGAGCTCTTCCCTTCTCAGAAGACTAAGTGAGGAAGAAACAAGGGAGGGACAGAGCGGACACGAAAGACTTTATTATTGCTCTTATTAGGCCTCCCTTGACGTCTTTAGGTCACTCTTTTTCCAGTACCTTTAGTGAACCCTTTTGTTTTATAAGTGACCAAGAAAAGACACTGAAGAAAGAACTGATGGTGTTTGTGGAAGTTCAGACAGTAGAAGCCCTCAGGCAAGAATAATAATGTATGTTATTTGTAGAGCTTTACTAATTGGGTATACTTGTGTGCACGCAAATGTGCGTGCATGGGCTGTGTGTGTGTGTGTGTGTGTGTGTGTGTGTGTTTATGCTAGGCAAGTACTCTACCATTGAGCGACATCTCTAGCCCCTAATTTGCTATTTTTAAAAGATATTTTCACTCACAGGTTACTACTATGGTTCTCAGGGGACCCAAATTGTAGGTCTCTGGTTTCTTTACTTAAAGTAGTGTAAGAGTGCTTGGATCATTAGAATATTTGCTGAATGAATCAGTCAGTTAATTCAGTTGAGTGACAAACCTTCTTCCTTATACGGAAATAAATCTTTGGTGGTAAAGTAAGTTTTAGATTATGAGAAAGAAATGCCTTTGTCCCACTCACGTATAGCAAAAGAAATCCAAACAGGCAGCATTTTTAGCAGCCCCTTGATTTACAGAGGGTTTCTCTGTCGTTTCACTTTGTTAGAGGGCAGGACAGGTTACCATGCCCTGCGTATCGTGGCCGTAGTAACAAACATTGAGGCTTTTAATTTCTCCCAGAAGATGTTCTTACAAGGGTGAGGGGAGGGCTGGGGGACCTAACAGTGGGAATAAGGACAGGTAGGGGGAACAGGGGAAGCACAGAGGCAGAATGGAGAACCATGTGCCTCGACAACTCTGCACCCCTGGGTGGGAAACACCTGTGCTTTAGGTAGCTGCACACTCACAGGTCTTCGTTGAGCTCTCCAATGATTTGTGTGTGAATAAGAGCAGAACTAGTGTTGTTAAACTTGGGCCAGAAACACCTGTGTATGAATTCGTATCCTGTGGGAGCAGTGCTGCCACACTGCGGACAGGCGGGTTGGTGCCCTGCGTGGGGCTTGTGGTGGGCAAAGCACGGACACTTGGAGAAGGAGCCCTTGCCTGTGTCAGGACCGTATCTGGAACGCAGTTCTGTTCGAATCAATGTGTTCATTCCCCATAGACTAACACTGAAGCAAGTTTGGTTGTCTCGTAAGATTTTTAGGAGAAAATTAATGCACATTCAAACAGAGAATCTTTAATTTGTACCAATGTATAATGCCCTCGTCAAACCACAAATAGGCTCGTTAATCAGCCACTTTCACTTTTAAAAGTTGCTTGCAACTGTTAAATTTTTTCTCATTTCATGAAAATGTATATCTAAAATTTTCTTTAAATATGATGTACTATGACTAGAAGTATAAATAAATGCTTCTTATGTGGAACTTTCTGTTGTATCTTGTGCTATTATTTTTGTATTTAAAATTTTGCATTGGTATACATTTATGGTAATAATTACATCCATTTGGGGGTGTATATATAATACATATTATTCTGATCATTTTGGTCTCTTTCTCCCCAGCCTTTCTGACTGCCCCTGATCACTTCCACCATTTCGCAGAGTTGTGAATGTTGCACTTGTTGGCAATCAGGACGCAACTGGGGTCTCCAAAAGAGACCTGTGGACAGCTTTGAATAGAATTTGTCTCTCCAGCCTGCTCGGCTATTGGGCTTCTGGGATTGGTCCAGCGAGGAAGAGGCACTCCACCAGGGGTCCCTCCACAGAGAATATCACGTTTCCCCGCTTTGCTTTTTCCATCAAATGCATGTGCCCTGTACTTGTTAGACCAACACTAAGTGGAGGGTGTGGGGCCGGTTGTGGGGACTGATAGACACCTCTTCCCTGGTGCAGTGTTTTCCTCTGCGTTTCCTAGCCTGTGGCGCACCTAGCAAGTGCTGCTGGGAAGTTTCCCGGATGTGGGGGTGGGCAGAGACAGCCCCCGCCACTATTTTCTGTTGTGATGCCTTGTCACTGTAGTCCCGCTTGAAATGCCATGGTACAGATCTTCACTTTGGGAGAGGACTGGGCTGGCAAGGGTGGAAGCTGTGATGTGTGAGACCTACAAGGGTGTCCTTTCAGTGCACGTATCCCTTCTCCATGGAGGCATGTCCCTTCCAAGAGAGTGTTTCCACCGTTAGAAAACATTTTATTTTTACTTTGGTGGCTGCTATTAAATGTTGCTCTCCGTGTACACCGTTTGGGTCTGTGCTCTGACAGTATTAAAATACTCTGTTACGCGCTTCTTCCTGGTACACCGTTCAGATCCCAGAGCAGGGAGTTGCACTTGTTGCACGTGATCTCTGCGTAATACTTTAAGGATGTCTAGAGGAAAACATGGTTTACCATCGCCTTAATTATCACCAAGAAATAACCGAAATGTGATTTACTGATTGTATTCTGGGTTTTGATATTTCAGAAGTGCCTTCTTCTTCAGGATTTACTAGCTGTCAAGTACATGACTTGCATACTCGAAAACTGGTGTGCGCTGGTTCTGTGTTGACTCTCTGACCGGGTTCCGGGGAGGGCGACCGTGCCTGCCTGTGTTTACGATGTTGACAGAAGGGATATGGTTTTCCTGGGAAAGCAGTCATCTGTCTTGAGTAGCTTAAGTGATAATTTGCATCTTTTCGGTGGTTAATTTCCTTCCCAGTCATCTTGGTTAAACTCTTCAAATCCTGCGTCTAGTAATTGAGAATTTCTTTTCTTGGTTATCTGGAAGAGAAATAGTGTAAGAATTTAAGAAAGGCCACCCGCAGTGAAATCATGGCTCATTCTACTCGCACCTCTTTGGTGATGTGAGCATGTGTTTGCTGTTCAGCAGATCTTCCTTGAGAGATTGGAGCTGCCCTCCAGATGTTCTTCATAACTTACATGGGATGTGTCCTAGCTTTCCTTAAACCTGTGCAGATACCTGGACTGATCCATCTCTTGGAGCAGGGATGGCAAAAAATTCACCATGTGCCCTTCCACCTGTAGCAGGATCACCTTTTTTTTTTTGTTTTTCTCCGGTACCGGGAACCAAACTCACGACCTTGCGCTTGCCAGGCAGGTGCTTTTGCCGCTGAGCTAAATCCCCAGCCCCAGGATCACCATTATGATAGCATACTTCCTCAAGGCACACAGATGTACCCTCTGACTTTCACTCAGCACGGCAGTCCGTGTGGATAATCAGCATTGGTACTTAACCTTTGTCACTACTGCCTTCAACTTAGATGTAGTTCATTCCTCAAGTTTACCTCCTCCTGTCAATCACTCCCTTTATTAGCGGCAGTAACCTTTATTTGAAATGTGGTCTTTAACTCCACCTGGTGCTGTACTTCAGGATATTTGTGGCGTTTACTTCATCCTAAATATGTTGTCAGTATCAGGTCTTTGGGTTCTAGCATCATTATATAGTCCCAGCCTAAACTTTTTGTGTTTCTCTAATTTTCTTAGCTCCAGGAAGTTAAAAAGGTGTGTTGTTTTTCCAGTGTACAATTGAGTCCATACAATTATGGTCATGCTTTTGTGCTCTGTCATGTATGGACCCTGGCAGGCTTCCCAGGCACGGGCTCTGAGGCTGTGTTTTTATGTAGCACTGCAGGTCTCAGGAAGAGCAAACCTTGTTAGATCAGAGACCCATGTCATTTTATTTATTTATTTTTTATTTATTTATTTATTTATTTATTTGCGGTACTGGGGATCAAACTCACCTTGTGCTTACCAGGCAGGTGCTTACACCACTGAGCTATATCCCAGCCCAAACTATGTTTTTATTAGTACATTTTTTTTTGTTTGTTTTTCTGGTACCAGGAATCGAACTCATGACCTCACGCTTGCTAGGCAGGCACTGTGCCGCTGAGCTAAATCCCCAGTCCCCCATGTCATTTTAAAAATAAGTAATTTTAGGCTAAAAATGGCCGATGTTTTTCCAGAGAATTATTTTAAAAACCCAAAGGCTCTATGTAGGCTGTATATAACTTGGTAGTACACAAGTTATTTCCCTTTGTAAGATAAAATTATTTTAGGAAAATAAATTGACCAAGTAGAGAAGCATAAAAGAGACATCTAGGACATGAAAACGTTAGGCGAAGTAGAACATGTGGGAACTTTTGAAGTTGCTCATTGTTTACAAATCATGTCTCTTACACACAGTTTTCAACATACTTTTATATTTGCTGATTATTATATTAAGAAATTGCAGTAGTTTCTATGAAATCATTCAGTGCTATAGGAATATTTTTATTACTGTAAAAATTTCAACTTTATTGAAACATTTGATTACTTACATGCATATTTTTATAAGAAAAGGCTGGATATGTTAGACTTAGATAGTTTCTGTTAGACTTAGATAGTTTTCTGTTTTATGTATTTATTTCAGTTAATGAATGAAGAAATAATTATTCTTTATAACACTAAATTTAAAAAGTCTACCTAGTATGAAGTGCTCTATTCTTATTTAAAACAAGAATCAAGTACAGAAAAGTTTTTAATTTACTTTAGAATTCAAATTTAGTAACAAAACCAAAATGTAAAAATGCTAGGTGTAGTGACACTTGCCTGTAATCCCATCATATGAGAGGCTGAGGCAGGAGGATCACCCGTTTGAGACCAGCCTGGGCTAAACAGCAGGTGTGGAAGCACTGTCTCAAAAAATCAAGAGCAAAACAAAAACAGCCTAGAAAAGGAGGCAGGATTTTACCTTATTTTGCAGGTGTTGGAATCTTTTATCATTTGTTTCATGTACTTGATTTTTAGAGTGATCTGGTGACCTATAAAAGAAAACAAAAATACGATATCCTATTTTGTGGGCTTATCAACAACATTAATCCTGGGGGCGGGAGGCTGATCTGAGATAGAGGCTCTTCTTCCATACTGTTAAGTGGTAATACCTGACCTCTTGGTATTAATAGTGACCACGGCTTTCTACTATTTTATTTTTAAAATTGTGGCAAATGAAAATGGATAGCATAGTTTTGCCTGTGTCTCCCATTAGTTAAAGTTGGAGGGAATATGCTTTCTGCACCCAAACTTTGGCTTTTCCTTTTGCCGACTAAGGCTTCTTAGGCAGTGGTCTCAGAAGGATTACAGGAAATGCATGGGAAGGTGAGAGGGCAAAGTTACCCTGCAATGAGTGGAGCTGTTTTCCAAGTCAAATTCTAAATTATAGTTACTGGAAAACAATTATAACATTTTGATGACAAAATTCAAAAATGAAGCTTTTTAAAAAATTTGATGTAATGGATGTATGTTTACTACTATGTGTTTTCAACAACAACCATTGAGAATAGTCAGTGATTATTTAATTGATCACCCATGTATAGCTCTATTTGTTTTTCCTAGAAACCACTTTGAAGAAACCAAAGTATAGTACAACAACCACTGATAATTTCCTAGCATTTTTGTCTGTAACTCACTATTATTTGTCTGTCTGTTTTCCTGAGAAACTTCTTGAAGATACCAATAGGTAAAATAGCAACCATTGATATTGTCCAACCACTTTGTCTGTAATTCAGTAAATCCCCCTATTACTATGTTATCCTTCTTTTACTCTTTTAAATAAACAAAACAGGGGCTGGGGATTTAGCTCAGTGGCAAAGCGCCTGCCTGGCAAGCCCGAGGTCGTGAGTTCGGTTCCCGGTACCGGAGAAAAACCAAAAAAAAAAACAAAACAAAACAATTTTTTGATGTATAGGGCTGGAGATATAGCTCAGTGGCACAGGTGCCTGTTGGGCAGTGCAAGGTCCTAAATTCAAGTCTTGGTGCAAAAAAATTGATGAATATAATTCCATATGTATGTATTACATAATTTCTGTGATGGTGCATACCCATTTTGCATTTTGTATTTCTCCTCATTATATAATAGGCATAGTATTTGGGGATACCCTCTTATGTATATTCCCGTACTGGTAGAGTGTTTTATTTCTTATGACATCTTTCCGGTGTAATTTCAGGGACAGGAGGAAGGAGGGAAAACCCTACCCCATTCCCAGTGGTTGGTGGAAAGAAGGCCAGGGTGGGGGTTGGGGATATCCTGGAAGGGGTGTGTTTAACAAGTTCCTTGTTCCGCCTTTTACCCTCAGAGGCAGCACTTTTGGTTCGTACTTGCCCTGGCTGCGAGATAGGAAAGCTTTAAGAATACCAGGGAACTGGTAGATGCCTGGGGTCAGAACCAAGAGGTTACAAGTGAGGGGAACATGGCACTAGACACTTTCCGAAAGGACCTGGTGACAGAAGGTACACCTCACCACATATTGCAAGGGAACCAAGCTGCCTGAAGTGTCCACATTTGAATCAGATGAAGTTTTAAAACAAATTGAACTCTACCAAGCTCCATCCTTTCTTCCCTCTTCCCGAGTTTCCCCCCTGTGCGGTGGGAATGGCTATCTGGAAGGGGCAGTGCCCTTCCACTTCCCTCCCCTTCTTGTACCACAGGGGTATCGTGTGCCTGACCTGCAGTTACAATGCTATTAAAACCTCCTCATAGGGGCTGGGGATTTAGCTCAGCGGCAAAGCGCCTGCCTGGCAAGCGCAAGGTCGTGAGTTCGGTTCCTGGTACCGGAGAAAAACCAAAAAAAAAAAAAAAAAAAACCTCCTCATAAATAAATACTACTTTGTATCTTCATTTATGTAACTTGGTCCGTATATTTGGAAACGGTTTTCATTATTATAAATAATGCCACGGATCAGATAATCCTACTACAAGACAAAAAATATTTAATGAAGAAAAGTCATCATTAACCCTGCTAGGTCTAGATTTGGATTTTCTAATTGTGATTAATGAAAGTCGGACTCATTAAGTCAAAAACGAGGGACCTTAGAAAATGAAAATTATGTTTATTCTTGGGAGAATTTTGCCAAGTGAAGTGCTAGGATATTGATTTACTGGTTGATACAGAACATCTGAAATTACGGGAAATGGGAAAAACCAGCGTGGATTCTGGTCATGAGTAGAATGAAGGGAAAGGAGGGGAGCCACACTCAAAGTGCAGTGAGCGGCGGGGACTCCGCAGCGGAGGACAGCTGACCAACCGACTGGCTTTTGAGCTTGAGCTTTTGAGCTTGAGCGGACGGCCTCGGCTTCTCCCACCTCTTCACTTCTAAGGTGGAACGGCAAACACTGAAAGCAAGCTCGCAGTACTTTAGGGAGTGCTGTCTTCAGCTCCGTGGTGTTCTGACATTGGCCTGCGAGTTGAAAGTGCTAGCTAGGGAGTATAACTTTTTTTTTGTAGTTTGTTTTCTTGACCCAGAATCTTGCTAAATCGCTAAATTTCCCAGGTTGGGATTGAATTGACATTGCTCCTGCCTCAGCCTCCCCGAGTGCTGGGATTACAGGTGTGCACTGGTGCGCCCAGCCAGGGGAGTCTCAGTGTTGTCTTACAGGGCTTGTCTTTGTGGGCAGAAGCAGCTCCAGTTATGCTAGTAGCTGACTACGCTGAGGGGCATCTCATTTATTCCTTGCCTAAACCCATGAATTGATTCCTGTTACCCAGTTATGTAGACCAGAAGTTCGAAGCTTAGAGGGAAAAATGTGCAGTTTAATGTTGCACCTAACTCGGGGAGGAGCTCTAAGTAGAACGTGGGTCTAACATTAAGGTCTTGGTTCCGCTTGACGCTCATTTGATCGTCAGAGTCACATCAGTGATGGAACCTTGTGAGCAGCTGAAACGCGGAGTGGGGTGGGGAGCGGGTCGCAGGGTCCAGGAGGGACTCCCAGCAATGTGGAAGGGCATTTTGGAGCCTATCTTTATTCTGTTTACTTATGGTCTGGCGCTGTTTTAGTGTCTACCTTAGTTCTTTTTTTTTTTTTTTTTTTTTGGTTTTTCTCCGGTACCGGGAACCGAACTCACGACGTTGCGCTTGCCAGGCAGGTGCTTTTGCCGCTGAGCTAAACCCCCAGCCCCCCTCTACCTTAGTTCTAAGTACTATCATATGTATGTATGTTTTGCTATTTTAAGGAGAAACCCCCCTCATCATTCTACTCAAGATTTTCCTTTTCTACATTGAATTTCCAGAGGAACTTCAGGGCCAGAGTGCCGCTCCTCCGGAAGAGGGTTTGGGCGGTGCCTCGGGCATTCATGAAGCAGCATCGTCTCCGCCTCCCCGCATGCATCCTCTGGGCGTTCTAGTCCTTGTAAAAGTGCGTGATGAGTGTCGCTTCATATACTGCGTGCAGTAACCCAGCAGATGGGTGTTAATCTTGGTTATGGAATGAGGAGAGTGTGGTTTAGAGAAGTTCATGTGCCCAAGGGCACTTGATTATTAAACTGCTAAACTGAAAGTTTAACCACAGTTTGGCTTCAAAAGATTGCTTCTTGCCCGTGGTCAGGTGATTGTTTTTAAGGTGTGAAGACTTCAGAGGGAACAGGCTATGCTTTGTCAAGGACGAGACTAACTCGCTTCAGATTTTTGTGATTCTGTGTGAGTCCCTGTGGTGGGAAATTAGGGACTGTGCCGCTAGAGTGAGCAAGAGGCAAGTAAGAGCACGCAGGCTGAATGGTGCCGGCTGTGGGTCAAGGCGGTGAGCAGTGCTCAGATGCTGGGTGGGGCACAGGCTGGCGGAGGTGGGCAGCCTGCTGCAAGGTGGCCAGGGACGGGTGGAGGAGCCCTCCGAGGGCACAGTCCGTGCACAGGCAGCCCTCGTTCTGGTCACGGGCATGGGAAGAACTGGATGCCGTTGTGTTGCCTGCTTGTCCTAAGCCCCTCTGCTACCCACTGAGGTCTGCTTTGTGCTGAAAAAGGCTGTTGCATCCCACTCTTTCTCTTCTCCCCCTTCCAAAAAGCTTCTGTTACCCCTTCTGTTGGGGAGCAGAGGTCTGACTAAACACATCAGAGGACTGCTAGAGGTCGGACTCCTAACCCAGGCCTGGTAGTCCATGCCTGTAATCCCGGTACTCGGGGAGCTTTACAGAGATTCTGTCTATTAAAACAAATCAAAAAGGGCTGGGGATGCTGCTCAGTGTGGAGGCCCTGGGTTCATTCCCCAGGACTGCGGGAAAAAAGAATGGACTACTCTCCGGATTAAAAATGATGGCACAGAAAGTATTGAATAACAGGAGGAACATTCTAGGTTGAAAATGAAGCTGGTAACAAAATGGATGTAGTTCGATTCTATTTTGCTTTAGAAAATTCTGTGTAAACCAATTCTATATAAATACGGACACAAAAAGAAAGCATAATTAATGTGATGAATTACACAGGACATTTGTCTTCTTTCCCACTTTTTTTTTTTGCTTTCTTATAAAAAAAAAACTTGCAGACAAGGAAGACAGCTGTGCTTGCAAACAGGGAAAAGTCCCCGCATTTTAACACACGTGGCAGCGGTTTAGGTAGTGAGCCGCACGGTCTGTCTGAAGGCTGACACAGGTCTCTGTCTCCTGTGTCACCCAGGGAAATCCCGCCTGAGCCTGGAGCAGGGCTCTGCTCTGTGACAGCGGGGCTATAGCACTGCCTCCCCTGAGTGCTGCCTGCCCCACTGGCCTGCAGAGAAGTGAGAATCTTCACATCTCCTTTGTGGCCAACATCGACGCTCAGGGCAGCTGGGAACCTGAGTCAGAGGAATTTGCTCTCACGTTAGGTCCCTTTCTCAGAAGTGGTTAAGCAGTGATGACATTAGTGTGCTTGACCTACCTGCATGGAGCTCCTCCCTGGACAGCCCTGCACCGCTCTCCAGGGGCACAGAGGCCGGGATCCAGGTCCTGCACACCGCCTGGGTGCTGGAGCCCGGGTCTACAGCGACACTCGGCATCCTTAGTCTGCTCATTCTTCACGCACTGAGCAAATTCGCCGCAAGCCAAGGATTTGCAGGGACCCGCTGGGTCGTCTGTAAGAGATGGGCAGGCTTTGAGGAACGTGGGAGGCTGACAGCAGTTAAAGGCAAGAAACCAAAGGTATTTGCATGGAGTGAGTCACACAGTGGTGATAACAGAAGGGGCAAGAAAAGCAATTTTATCTTTGTAGGATGAAATTACAGGCATGTGATATAGTATGCCTAATTCCAGCTATAATTATATGCAGACTTCAAGGTGCATCAGAATCATCTAGAAACCTTGTTAAGATAGAAGCAGCTTATAAATTAAAACCTGTCAGAATAGTCAGCTCTGGGAGGCCAGTGGCTCCTTCCACCTCCCTTGTTTTTCTAGTGCTAAGGTCGCAGAGCTCTTGGCAGAGAAGCAAACGGTCAGTCTCCTAGTGCGTAAGGCAGAAGCCGAACAGGTCTTCCACTCACTTTTTTTCTGTCCTGAAAAGATTTCTGGTTTCATTACGTCAATCATTTACCCTTCACACTAGTCTTTTAATTAGCATCTATTGTTTGCAAGTGAAATGTCCTTGTAATTCTAGGGAAACTGAGTCATGCATAGGCTTAATTCTTCACAAGGAGCCCCATACCTAGGTTTTCTAAGAGATCTAAATATAGAGGAGCATTCATCCTGGAGGTAGCGGCTTTGAAATCAATTCATGAAGTGGATTGTGTTTGTACAGACAAAGACTGGGGAGGGTATTTCCATTGAAGATGGTAGTGTGGACAGTGCACAGAGGGCAGATCTGGATCCTGAAGAGAGAGCAATGGAAGCAGAGTTAGCAGGAAACAGGAACGTGTGAATGGGAAGGAAAGAAACTCGAGACCAGAAGGTGCACTTGGGCTGATTCTGGAAGGCCCAACTGAGGAATTTGGACTTTTTTTGGCCCTTCCTCACTGCCCCCTCTAATTCCCCCAGAAATTTCGACTTTACAGACAGGTGAGAACAGCAGAGCATTTGTGAGCAAGGAAAAAATATGATCAGAATTGTGCTTTAGAAGATACATAAACAGGACTTCAAATTTTTAGAATTAGGATGATTTCAAAGATCATCTGGCCCAGTATTTCCCAAGAGGGAACATTTGCAAAAGTCTAATTCAGGAGGATTTAATAACTTTTATACTAAAAAGAGGTTTGATAGCTAAATAAGTTCTAAAAAATGCTGTGTGCTCTTGGTGAGAATGGAATATAGTGTGGAGGTTCCTCAAAAATTTAAAAGTAGGACAACCTACCAGAGGATCCAGCAGTCGCATTCCTGGGTATATATCCAAAGGAAATGAAATCAGGATACTGAAGAAAGACTTACACTACTATTACACTTACTGCAGCACTATTCATAATAGCCAGGATATGTTATCAACCTAAATGTCCACTAGTGAATGAATGGATAAGGAAATTGTGGTACATATATACAAAGTGGAATATTATTCAGCCATAAAATGGTGAAACTCTGTCACTTGCAGAAGCCTGGATGATCCTGGAGGACACTATGGCAAGTGAAATAAATCAGGCACAGAAGACAAACACGGCACAATGTTATTCCTGTGTGGGATCTAAAAAAGGTGACCTTATTGATGGTGAGAATAGAATTTGGTTGCCATATGCTGGACAGAGCAGAGGGAGGAGGGGAAGGGAAAAGGTCAGTCCAGGTGCAAAGTGACAGCTGGGATGCAGTAACTACAGCAGGGTCTTTGGTTAACAATAATGCAGTATGTATTTTAAAATAGCTAGAAGAAAAAAAATAGAAGATTTTGAATGCCCTTATCACAAACAAATGATAGATGTTTACGATGATGAACATATTCATTATCCTGATTTGATCATTACACAATGGATATATGTACTGCGACATCATATTGTAGCTTCATAAATAGGTACAATTATTATGTGTCAATCAAAAATAAAAGTAAGGGTGCAGAGTCATGCAGCTGTAGTCCCAGCTACTCAGGAAGATCATTTGTACTCAGGTGCTGGAGATTAGCCTGGGCAACATGGTGAGAGTCCCCCATCTCAAAATAAAGAGAAACAAGAAAATACAGAAAAATTTGTTGTATGATATAAATATGACAGGTTTATCTTTCCCTGTTCCCCCTCTCCCAACCATCTCGTCCCCTTCTCTTTGTACCTTCACACTTCTTAGAGTTATTAACAAGCTCATGTCTATTGTACTGTATTGTGAATCTTCCAGCAGAGAACATAGTCAGCCATTTGGCCAGACTTACAGATCTAGAGCCCCTGGAAGGATGGGTGGGGGAAAATCCAATGGTGAAGACACAAGTAAGGGAGATCAGCATGACCAGTCCAAGGGTTGGGCAAGAGTAGGTCCTTGAAAACATGTTTTTGCGTGTCTCAGACAGGTATGCTGCTAAAGTGGTTTTGTGGAGTTGTATGTCTCTGCAGCTTTGGGGATGGAGACTGTGAACCATCTTGCCCTGCCTCCTGGTTCCTGACACTGGCTGTGTTTGGAATCATTGCCACTGTTTAGGAATAATGCAGGTTTATACTGACAACCCCGGCGAGTTCACGTCCAGGGCCTGCTTTAGTAAATAAAAACTGTCAGCAACTTTACACTCAGAGCTGTGTTCTGGAAGACAGAGGCCAGGAGGGAATAGTCAGAAGCTCTGTTTTCCTCTGTAATAGAGAAACATATTCAACCTAGACAGCTGCATGCACTGGTTCTTCCCTTGAACAGAAGAGAGCAAGGAACCAAAACCAGAAGTTTCCCTGTGAAAATAAATGTTTGTGTTTTATTATCATTTCCATGAACCTAGCTAGCCAAAGTCTGTAAATCAGTAAAGTTGCCCACTGCACAGGGAGAGAGGTGGTGCTGAAGCAATGTATTTATCGAAATTTGGGGCCCTGAGCCAGGTATGTTTGAAGGATGGATACAATCAGTTGCTAAATCTCTTCATTTATCCCATACCAAACATTTGTCCCATACTCAGTACCGGGCAGTAGAGAAGCAGCGGCTGATTTGGTTGCTGTGTGTACCTTTCTGCCTGAGATAATATTCATTCATTTGACAAATACCAACCTGGCCTTTCAGAACTTGCAGCATTAACATTTTCAGGCTGGGTAATTGCTTTAGGTTTTATTTTATCCTTATATAAAAATGTAGATGCAATTCAGATAGAATTCTATTCAGATAGAATTGTAGAGCCTGAGGGTATTTCGGAGAACTTCTAGACTAATTGTTCACTTTGCACAGGAGGAAGCCAGGACTTGGGGGAGCTGATGGTCTGGTTTTATTTTTGGTTGTTTTTGTTTTTCTTCCGGTACCAGGAATCAAACTCACGACCTTGTGCTTGCCAGGCAGGCACTTTGCCGCTGAACTAAATCCCCAACCCCAGAGCCAATGGTCTGGAACATCAGCCAGTCTGCTCCTGTCTTCCAACAGTCTCGATTCTCCCACTCCGGACTCTGTGAGATCAAGGGAAGGGAAGGGCCCCAAGAGGGCGCTGTTGGGTCACCGCTGGTACTGTAGATTAAAGGCAGCTGCAGTTAATTAGGCTCAAAAGAGACCTTGGTTCCAGCGTCAATCTGTGAAAAGCTCAAATTGCTTCCACTTGTATTACCTTAAAAATATTTCCCCTAGATATTCTGATGACCCTCTTTTGGGTCTACAGCTTTGGGTTTTAGACAAAGGCAACCACTGGGCTGATTCTAGGGAGGAAGAGCCATAGATGAAATAGAAGAAAGATTGGCTCTCCGGTGAATGACAGCTTAGTAGAACTTCTGTAAACAAGACATCCCTCTGTGGTCAGCATGTTCTTTGTTTTGCCTCAGCTATTTCTCCTTAGACCAATGTATTCATTCACAGGTTGGCCATACAATTCTGCCTCTTCTTCTGCACATTCCTGGACAATACAAACCAAATTATACAAAACAAATTAGCCCAAAGATCCCAGTCGTGGCTCTAGATTTGACCAGTGTCTGAAAGCAATCTTTACATTATGCAGCAACAACCTAAAACACTCTGTCTGAACAGCATCTATAGCTTGAAAGAGGACTTGAAATCAGCAGTAGGTTAGGATGAAAACAAATCAGATGCTATTTTCCAGAGATGTTTTCCAGTCATACAAATTGCATGTAGAGCTGAGGAAGTGAAGTCCCCATGGTAAGTTTACAGACGGATTGGTCTATAACTGCCTTAGCTCCCTGGATAGGTGTAAATCCCTTGTAAGTGGATTGTTTTTATGCTGGCAGCATAGCGGGCTTTCTCCAGGAGCCGTCGCCAAACTCAGCAATACCTGCTATAGTGTGGGTCATCTTCAGGGCTTCCTAGGATTGCTCACCAGCAAGGTGACTTAATGTTTTTATCCTTAGCCAGCTTGGTAGTTTTTCTGGAAGTAGGACAGCCCTTTGCCCCTGGCCTTGTGAGTAGGGTGTGTCTCAGGGGTGAGTGGCAGCAGGTGGTGCAGGTCTTGGTCCATCTTAGCACCCAGATGACCTGGCCTTCTGCTTAACGTCCCAGATGGATTCTTCTGCAGTCAGAGCACTCAGGCCTTGTCCCTGAAGTGTCCCCAGGGATCATGACACAGAACTTCCAGCTGTGCCAGGAGTGGAAATGGAAATTACTTCTATGGACAGGAAGCTCACATTCATCAAGCACTATTACATGTTTGGCACGGTGCTGAACCCTTACATCTGCCATGATTTTCCAAATACAGATATTTCTGACACTGTTCTCATAGGTGAGAAAACTGAAGCTCCTTTAGCCGGTATGACCAAGGATTAATATCCAAGAGGCCATTTGCTGCTTTTATACATGCTGGTGGTTCTCCAGGAGACACCTGAGGGACTTATGGGGTGAGGGGTGAGCGGGAACCCCTACGGCAGACTCCAGGACCACTGTCCTTTGAAGCGATCCGAGGCTGGTGGAGCTTGCGGCCTGCCACCCTCCTCAGGGGCGGGAGGCCCAGTGTGAACACAGAGGCTTCGAGCTCAGGTGTCATGGCAGTGGCTGCTGAGGGTTTCGGGACGCTGCCATTGCACTAAGGACTCTGGGGTAGGCACATCCTGTG